AGAAGCTAATGGGACACAATCAGGTCCCTGTGTGCCGTGGTAATCGAAGTATCTTTCTGTTCGCTGAAGCCAGGATGTGGGATCTCCCCCTGCGAAGATGGGAAACTCAATTCTTGTTGTTCTTGATCCGCTTCGATGACTGGTGTCACTGCGTTCTTCCTGATTCGGCGCAGGTGGTGCCTGTGCCAGTCGTTCAAGCAAGGATGCGAAGCTTTCTTTGATTTCTTTGACGTCAACCGATATTTTTTGCATTTGTCCTTCCATGTTGTCGACTCTGTTCTCCATTGCGGATGACCTTGTGCTTGGCATCTTGGCTCTGATACCAACTTGTTAGGGATTGCCTAACTCAGGGACTCTTTCGAGGGAGCCTACCTCCTAAATGAGAGAGAGAGAGAGAGAAAGAAAGAGATTGTATTCCCATATCGATAATCCCCTCCTAGCTTCTTTTCCTTATTTATATACTGCTGTTATAATTTTGTTATACCCGCCTTTCAACTTGTCCAATTTATTAATTAGCTTATTCTAGTGGTTGGTTGTTAGTTACATTCTTTAAAGACTGGCGTGGCCTTTTTTTGTACCCATATATTTCCTTTATTTGTATCTCAACAGAGAGAGAGATGCGCTAGTGGGTGAGTGAAGAATGGTGACAATGTTCATGAAACATATCTCACTTCCAAAGAAACTGGGTGAAAGGGATCATGAAAACATTAGAGGAAGAAGCCAAGTAATTAAGGCTGTTTGCTTGCATGAATGCTGGGGGTCACATTGCATTTGGGTGCCAGCCATTTATATATATATACATCAAACCATGGTAGCTCTTATCATTATCTTTTGACTATTTTAATATCATCTCTTCACAATAATTTCATGATTTGTTGTTTCTCTTCACACACTCTCCTGTCATCCCTTTATTAAAGGAAAGGGCAAAATGAATAAGACTAATTAAAGTACAAACTATTAATATTACAAAGTACTGGCTAGGCTGAGAGGCACGTACAATAATATTTCACGTGCCAGCTGACAAATATGAGAAAGTGCTTGGTGAACAGCCATCTGTGATCTGCTGCCTCTCCATTCCACCCACCACTCACAGTCCTAAACTTGCTGAGCAAAGAAAAGCTTATTTCTCCATCACTTTCCATTAGAAAGATTTGAAATCCTACACTTATTTCTCTTCTTCTTTCTTTGGCTAATGAACACCATGGTGAAGTGAAGTGAAATAAGGGATTATATTGTCGCAAAAAGAGAGAGAGAAAGAATGGGTCCATGGAGAAGATGAGCTGAAAACAGACATGACAAGATTGGACGGAGGAGACATGGGGAATTGGCCGGGGATTGCAATTACAGGTGTTGAGCTCGATTGCCAACTAACAAGGAATATCAAGATCCCACCACCCACTTGTGGTTGTCACCAGAATCTTAAGATAGGGGAGGTAGAAGAATATTTTCTTCATGATGAATCATAGAATACTTCAAACAAAAAAAAGCATATTTTTCATCCTGACAAAAACAATGATCATTGATACCCCCAAGATCTTTTTCAATGACATGGTGGGCCTCCCTCTCAATAACAACAACAACAACCAACAGATGCTGGTTTGTTGGCAATTAAGTTCTTTAATTAGTTATAGTGAAGACTTAAAATCAATCCCATTGGCATTAGGGTTGGGGGGTCATGGATATAGGGGACGGGCTACCCCGCGGGATCATGCATAGTCCCGTAAAGAAAAAGAAGAAGAAGAAGAAGATCAATATTGTTTAATGCATGCAGCTTGCTTGTAGAGGTATTTGAAAGAAATTCTTTGAAGAAGTTACTCCAAAAAATGCCTTTGTAAAATCTAGTTCTGATAGATGAGATAGCTAGCATTGAAAAATGAAAACCATCTTGACCAACTAAAACGAAAACCAAGGAACTATATATAAGAAACAAAAAAAAAGGTTGGATAAGAACTATGAGATAAAAGATTGATTTGGGTATTTCTTATGTTTCTTTGTTGTCTTCTCTTTGTATTTTTCTTCTAGAATGAGTCAATCTTAGCCTGAGATACCCAATAGATGTCAAGCAAAGATACCAACCTCTCTTGGAAAAATCCAAATTGGGCTTGTATATTTGCATGTGAAAGGATACTCTTTGAGAGCCTGGATCCTCTGAACCATTTGACTAGAAATGACTATTCTAAGTACGCAATACAAAGCACATATGTAGTACTTCCCTCATAAGACAAGCGAAATTAAACAAACATGTACTAACTAGTAATTGGGCAATTCTATGTAATGTAACTGCACCATTTTCTTGGATATATACAGCCCTCTTTAGACGACTAGACCAGGGTGGCTTACTCAGTGAAATGGTTCTCAGGGTCTGGACGACTAGACCGGCCGGGTAATTACATTAATTCTATGTTATGTAATTCAGCATTTTTATCTAAGAATGAGTTAAAGATAATCACATTAGAAGTAGATGTGATAATTATTTCAAAATGAAGTTTTTTTTTCTTTTTCCAAAAGTTGTTCTCACATAATTGGAGACATTCGATATTTTTTAATTGCTTGGAAACACTCAACCAAACAATAAAAAAAAAAAAAAGTGAGAGAGACTACCATGGCGGAAGCAACTTGGAGAAATGATTCTGATACTAAACACTCACTTAAATTTCTTTACATGTGATTATGTGAAAATTGGAGTTCAACCCTTCATTTTTCATAACCTAGAGAGATGACATGGCAAGTCCTGATTGGCCAATTTCACACAAAACATTCAAATTCTCTTTTTTGCCATTCATCCCACTCCTCTAATATTGGAAAAAAAAAAAAAAAAAAACTACTACCCACAATCATTGAATTTTCTTGAAATAGACTCAAATTATTCTGTTATCTAATTAAAGTGAAACTTGATATAGACCATTGGGTCAACTCCCACAATAAAAACCTAAACCATTTATTAGCAATGCCACCTCAGCTACCACGTGTCAAAAGATCGTGGGTCAGGACCTCAATGCTGAATGCATGTCACAATTAAATCCGCCATCACATCAATCCACCGCATGATGTCATTGTTTTCAAAAAATAAACAAAAAAGCAAGATTTTGAAATGACGGCATTCGTAGTATTTAATTAACCAAATCCATCGATTTGATGGAAACTTAAATGGAGAAATGAAGAATTGGAATTGGGGATTCCGTCCGGGCCATAGAGCCTAGAGGCTAGAGCTCCCTACTACATCTTCTCTTTAATAAATTCGACGGAATGAACGAAAACATGTTAAGTCAAACAACCACCCACGCAAGTCAACTGACTGAGATTCACTTGGGAATTTAGGGCTCCAAAAAAATCCCATTACGTGCCCTAAAAGGCTAAAACTCCCGCCCATTTCCATAATTGGCTAAAACTCGCACCCACGCTCTGACGGAGTTAGGAATTAGGATTATAGACCCAGGACTAGGGCTGCAAGGTAGACCAAAAGTCCTGACTCACCGCCGAAGGACACCTGGCAACCTATTCACAGGGATCTATGACCAAAATACCCCCACCATCAAACCAGGCGATCAATACGATACACCGTTTACAACGTCGGTGGTCGTCGAGGTCGTTTTGGTCATTCTCCGAAGCGTGGGCCCTACATCGGGTTGCAGAATGGCTAAATGCTAACCCTTCCACCCCGTACGTACTCCCCTCCCCAACCTCACCCAATAGGGCGAATGGTATGCATATCGAGATTCGATTGGCTACTAAATCGTGTCAGTGACACGTGACTGGCAGGGGTGACGGTGGCTGAGGTCACGTGACCTCATCCTCCCGTCCGGTCGGTGCACCGTGACGTCAACCCTGACTCTTTTCTGTCCTCCTCCCTCCCTCTCCCTCTCTCTCTCTCTCTCTCTCTCCTCTCCCTTACGTTGACAGTGCGGAAGCTATCCGTACACCCCTTTCTCTCTCATCCACAGTGATGGATTGGATATACGTGTATATATCAGACACGCAGAGCTGATACGGGGGTAGAATCGTAAAATACAAAAATCTCGTGAGTGATTGTTGTCACGTATTCTGGGCCTCGGGCGACGAAAAGATCTTTTACTTGGGCAGCAAAGATCTCACGGCAAATCGGCATTTACTACTCCTTCCGAGTTCCAACTCAAAACCCCAGTCCAAAAAAGCCCAGAGTCCCGGGGTCCAAACCCAGCAACCCAACGAGGAACAAAATAAGAACCAGACCCTGAGAAGTCCTCCCAGGACCGACCGGACCGCACCAGAGACTAGACGAGACGGGACGAGACGACGTAGTGCGGGGGGGGGGGGTGCTGCGTAGTGCCCGCATGTGGGCTATAGAGTGTTGGCTATGCGTGACAACGCGTGCGCACTGTTCGACGGGTGACGCGAGAGAGGGACCCATTTCGTCTTCCATATGCAACCCTGAGACTTCCTATTTATGGTTATCTCCTAAGTCTAACTGTTCAACATTATTACTAACCCATCTCGTGTCACTTTCCCGAGTTTCGATATCAATTATCAATTGCCAATTCAATTGAATTACTCTGGTGACTGTTAATTCATGAAGTAAAGCTTAAGGTGGTTTATTACTTTATTATCAAACATGAAGCTGACAAATTATTCCCAAAAGTTAGATTTTGTCACCTGGGTCTCTCTCTAAATCACCCAATCTTGCTTTTTTTTTTAACCATCGATGATCAATGGGTACTTCACCATCAAGCTCTCCGTTGGTTCCAGGTATCTGTGGACTGTGGACCGCCAAGTTATTGCCACGTATCGGTTTGTATGAGAGAGAGAGAGTAGAAGAAACAAGCTTGATTTGATTACTGAGGGGCTGCTGGCAAATGGTGTCAAAAGTGTTAGTTGGATGCAACTTCTGTTCTGTCCTTTGTTTGAGTTGCAAACAATGAAACAAATGCCGATGTCGGTTACAGGCAACAAAAAACGGAGGGAAGGGAATGAATAATGATTGATGATATTTGGTCTCCAACGGGAGGATTTGTATAAGACCCCAGAATTCCTTTGTGGGGGGAGGGGGAAGAAGTCTCATCGTGTATTATCATCATCATCAAGCTTGTTTGTGTTTGTATTTGTTTGGGGGTGGGTTATGAGTCTATCCAGTATCGACAATGGTCCGTCTGTCTCCTATGTCCTGTCATGCAAATGCAATACTTTACGTGTCATACGCCCCCGGCTGTGATTTTGCACTCCCCAACCCATGATTTCTAGTGCCTCCTGCCTTCACTTGTCACCGTAACAGTACAACATCCACAACGAGATATTGCCGAGAAAAGAGTCTTAACTCTTAACTCGCTTAACTCTAGCCCCTTTCCCTTTCCCTTTTTTTATTCATCTTCTCTTATATTCTGATAAATAAATCCCACAGGCCGCAGCCTTTCTACATAAATACCAGGAGTCGCTCTTTGCCCATGTCCACCCATTCACTCTGTCTGAATTCTGAACAAGCTAAGGAGAAGCCTACTAAATCCCTTTCTTAAACCTTCACGCCTCCCTATTCCCTAACCTCTCTCTCACTCCGGCCATCTTTCTTTATAAATGCTCTCCCTCTCTGTTTTCTCAGAAATGGACCAAGTTCCGTTACTCCATTGATCCATCTCCCGTCGACCACTGGCACCCTTCTCTATCTTCAACACATCCTCCCGTTTTAAATCCACAACTCCCTCCCTTGCATACCCAATACAAAGTTGGCCAAAACGTAAAAAGTTGCACGAAAACAGGGGAAAACAGAGCTTGCCAGAGTGGTTCTTGAATCTTGATGGGTTCTTGCAAGGAAGACGACGGACAGCTCAAATGTGTTTGCGTACTCGGACCCATCATCGTCGGTGCAGGCCCTTCCGGTCTGGCTGTCGCTGCTTGCTTATCTCAGCACGGCGTCCCTTGTATCCTGCTGGAGAAAACCGACTGCATAGCTTCTCTTTGGCAGTATAGGACCTACGACCGAATGATGCTTCATCTCCCCAAACAGTTTTGTGAGCTCCCTTTATTGGGTTTCCCCGAGGAGTTCCCCGAGTACCCATCTAGGCAACAGTTCATCTCTTACATTCAGTCTTATGCTACCAAGTTTTCCATCAAACCCAGGTTCCAGCAGACAGTTAAGACGGCTGAGTTCGACAGGGCATGTGGCCTCTGGAGGGTCCGAACCCAGGACACCGAGTACTTCTCCCGGTGGCTCATTGTCGCCACCGGAGAAAACGCTGAGCCTGTAATTCCTGAAATTTCAGGGATTGACAAGTTTCACGGCCCCGTTATGCATTCAAGCGTTTACAAATCCGGTGCAGACTTTCAAAACCAGAAAGTTCTGGTTGTTGGGTGTGGCAATTCCGGCATGGAAGTTAGCCTAGATCTCGTTAGTCACAATGCAATCCCTCATATGGTAGTCAGAAGCACAGTAAGTTTACTCAATCCTATCAATCTCTCATATTTCAAACCTGTTAGCTTAATAGTATTAACAAAACCGGAACTGTTCTTGTTTAAAACTTGGTCTTCATCTGGGTCTATCTGTTCTTATTTCAAACCTTGTCGGTTCAGGTACATGTCTTACCCAGAGAGATGCTTGGACTGTCAACGTTTGGAGTCGCCATGGGTCTTCTGAAATGGCTTCCTTTAAGACTAGTAGACAAGATTCTACTACTAGCAGCAAACGTCATCATAGGCAATACTGACCGGTTAGGCCTACGCCGACCCAAAACCGGTCCAATAGAGCTGAAGAACGCGACCGGGAAAACTCCAGTACTTGACGTCGGAGCTTTATCACAGATTAAAGCAGGCAAAATCAAGGTAAACCGACTGAAATCTTAAATGGGGTGACGTCAAGTTTCATGTTTATATTCGTCTAGCTTTATCTAAACGAGTATGTGCTCGGTGTGTCTGATTTTTTTTTTTTTTTTTTGTACTGCAGGTGATGGAGGGTGTGAGAGAGATAACGAGAACAGGAGCCAGGTTCGTTGATGGACAAGAGAAGGAGTTCGATGCTATAATCCTAGCAACTGGTTACAAGAGCAATGTCCCTTGTTGGCTCAAGGTTAGAATGGCTGGCTTCACCATTTCTGTTATTTTTTCTTTCTGCAAATCCTATTATCACTCTTCTATCGCTTTCACACCTACAGACACACACGGCCAAGACTAGCAAAGCGTCTCTTTCCTATCTTCCAGAAAAAATCAAATGGATTCTCCGGATCCTTTTACTGGGTTTCGTGACGTTTGTCCTACAAACAGAAATTTCTTAGGCTGTTCTGTTGAGTTACTTTCATGAAAGATTTTGGACGTTGAGGCAACTTTCTTTGCAAAACCTCGTTTGTATCATCATATCTAAAAACATTTGTATTGGGATTTTCTCGGTATTTCACTGGAAGTGCTAGCTACAAAGTGTCTCTTTTCTCTTTCACAGGAATAAAAAAATGGCAAAATGGGTTTGCAGTTTGTACCCAGAACCAGTAATCTTTGGTCTTTGATGTGTTGCTATCATGGAGTTTTGGTTACTGTGAGATTCTTCCATGGAGATTTATTTGAATATCAAAAGGCTTCTTTTTCCTTTCCCTTCTATGTTGTTACAAAAGATGAAACAAATAATACGGGTTGGGTTTGTAGTTTTCACCTGGAAAAGTTTTTTTTTTGTTCTTTTGAAACTTTTGGGTTTTTTGAGGAGGATCTCTTTAGAAATTTGAATATACAAGGTTAGTTTAGAACTTAGAAGACGGTTACGTGAGTGTATCTGCAAATCAGAATGAAAGCAAGACTGAGTTGGGTCTGATCGGTTTTCTGTTGATTTGTTGTTTGACAGAGTTGCGATTTCTTCACGGAAGAAGGGATGCCGAAAACGCCATTCCCCAACGGTTGGAGAGGAGAGAACGGGATGTATAGCGTGGGATTTACGAGGAGAGGCATCTTGGGAATGTCCTCAGACGCTGTTAATATCGCTAGAGACATAGCTGCGCAGTGGATACACATTAAGGATCTCCTGCCCACGAGAACCATACCCACTCCTACCCACAAGACATCGCAGCCGCACATCGGGAGCATCTCCTCCTGTAATTGTGTGTCTTCATGCATTGGGAGATGTTCCCGATGCACGGCTGTAGTGTCCCGTGGGTAAGAGGGATCGGTCTTCCTATTTCCAATTCTTCGCGAGGAAAAGTGTAGTGGTGTATATTTGATGTGACGTGGAATGTTGTTTATCTGGTCAACGTTATGCTTTTTGTTGGGACTTGGGACGTATGGGACAGAGGAGGAGGAGGAGGAGGAGGAACGAAAATGACAATAGTGTCCTCGATTTTGCTACAACAGAGGAGGGAGGGAAGTTGGCTAAAATGGGTAATCGCCCTAAGAGGGTTGGTTTTGTTAATATGGGAATCAGTTAAAACAGTTATGAAGGCTCACGCAACTGTAAATTGGGCTGTTTCATGGATGCATGTGTATCTCAGCTCTGCAAGTGCAGCAAATGAACAAATCTCATGATGAAATTCTTAATTCTGAGCCCATAAAGGCCCATTCATAGTAAGATAGATGGTCAAGGCCCGGACTTTCCAGTGTCTATCACTATCAGTAGCCATTCAGTCAGTCTCATTAATGATGGATATGAATTTTATGATATAATGAAAGTAAAATGATTTCTCTAATTGGGATTCCAGGGTTGGAGTCTCATTATGTTCATAGCTTGGCAAAATCTATCGTGCATCCGATGCACCTTGCAACAAATAGTAAACAAACATTGTAAAATGTGAACGAATACTTTGTAAAATATAGATCAATAAAAATTATCGATTAATATGTGGATTTAATATTAGTGGTTGATGTTTACGAAATCTTAGCTATGCTATTAGATATTAGAACTTAGAGAAGTTATACAAATATAGAGCACATATGGTTCAGATATAAATTTTTTCGTAACTAATATTACATATTAAAAGCTTAATATATTACCAATCAACACCCCCATGATTTTTTATGAATCGTACTTGATTGGTCACCTCTTTTATGATACTGGTTGATTTGCTGTAGGTTTTTCCATCTAATATATCTCCGGTATCATAGTCGAACCCTTATTTTTATTATAAAAAAACCTAAGAAATGCAGCCTGGGTGCATTTTTTATGCATGTGTATTCAATATCATTTTTGTTTTCTATATCTTTTAACTCTATATCTATTAATGAATCATCCATTAATAGATCCATCACTATAAATGCATGCATGTAGATATATACATGCATAAAAAAACAACAAAAATTAAAAGATGTTGAATCCAATTTATCTCCAGCCTGGGTGCAATTTCACCTGTCACAGACTGAAACTAAGACTAGGTGGATATGATAAAAAAAAAAAAAAAGGAAGGAAATAGCATAAGGGATCCGGACCCAAACGTACAGTTCAAAGATTTACATTAATTCTTGATTTTCGGGCTTATTCAACCCATGAAGAGCTTGTTTAATACCCATTGCCATTTTCTCATTCAATGAAAGCTTCTTGAAAAACATTAAATTACTCTAGATTATGTGCACTCTTTTGACATACACTAGGTGACACATTAGCAAGAAGTGGACAATGATATCAAACACCATCAAACTGGATATTTGGCACTGTAGCGTTTCATTAGTTACATTTCACAACCTTGCCGCATCAGGAAATTAAAAACAAATAGAAATGCTAAAAAATACAGGTTTGGTGCCTTATTTTTCAAAGAAAAAAAAATTGCTAAAATGATTAAATTGAAGATTCAGGGAAAGGAATCATTTCTTAAATCATCGAAATTGATGTTTCTTGAATCACCAAGGTGATGTGGTACAATAAAATTTAAAAACGAAGACATCACCTTTTTTGAGATGTCATATAGTTGTCATTATAAATATATTATAATAATAAATTAAAACACTTTAAGCATGCAGCAAACATGCGTATCTAATTGCTTGTAAATAAGGAACACTTGTGAAATACTACAGTGCCAAAACATCCTCAAAAATGGCAAGCTAGAAGAATTTTACCAGCCAAAACAATTTTTTGATGTTGCTCCTTGATCGAGATATGACTGAGTAGGAGAGTTACTTAGGGGGTGTTCGATAACATGATTTTGTTTTTGGAAGCAAAAACAACTGCTATGTTGACAAAAACAATACATTAGGAGAGTTACTAATGTAATAGTTGTTTTTTGTTTTCAAGAACAAAACCAATCATATTGTCAAAAACCCCCTTAGCTCATCACTATAAATAAAATGAGATAGGGATTGTCAAAAACCAATCTATTAATGTCTTCGGTTCTGTTAATGATTTATCATTAGGATAACATTTTACGCTATGCAATGGTTTTACGCTAAGCTCAAGGTTTCGTCGTCAAAATATCAGAAATTTTGAAATATTTCATTATGTTTTAACTTAAATTTCAGAGTCAAAATTCACTTTTTAATAGTTTAATAGCATCAAAAATATTTCTTAATGGTATTGCAGCCCAAGGAACCAAGATCACCAAAAGTTTCAGTTTTTTAAAACCTAGCTGATATTTGTTGCCCGCAGGAGGACAGAGCCCCACCATCTGGGGTTAGTTAAAGACGATTCAGACTGAGAGAGGGAGTTATCAATGTTCATATATTTGAATTTAAAAGCGGAAAAAATGGACAAAAGAAAGATTTTGAACCCATGAATGTAAAGAGCCATATGTACACAAATATTTTAACTAAATTATTTATGCTTTTTATTCTTTTTGGTAACCACCGTAATCAATTACTAGTAGTATGGGACGAATTATTCTTCTAATAACATTTTTTATTTTATATTAAAAAAAATGAATGTTATTAAATTCTCATATAGAATGAACGAGTAATAATCACTAAGAGGATATTCTGCAATATGAATAATTTTCTTATTGTCAGTTTTATAAACAAATCAAAATGTTCTTGGTTGTGTGTGTGTGTGTTTCCAAAACTGAAACCAAAATCATGTTCTTGAATCTCCGATTTTAAAAGAACATATTTTCATCTGGTTAATATCATATTTTTATAAATCATATAATTATATAATTTCTACACTAAAAATTTGTTTCATTTTAAAAATTATTATTTTGATGGTTTCAAAAACATGTATTATTTTTTAAAACAAAACCAATCTATTTTTGCCGTTCAAAACAAGATCACAAAAAAGGTTGATTGTATATGTTTTGGATATAAATTGTTTATCAATGACTGAGAAATTGATTGATTTTAAATTTCAAGGAATTTGACACTAACGATGTTTTGGATGGTTGGCCACCTTTCTACCACATACTCAAATAAAGATATTAGGCCATTGATTCACACATTCATACTTCATGGACATCTGCAGCTGTATTAGCTGCACCCATGTGCTTTGTACCTCACTATCCTCGTAATCGATGATGTTGATGTGAGTGGTGCCACACATTGTCACCATTCCAACCCTAAACCTTGTGCTGATGAAGGAAGAAATTTCACCATTTTGTTTCCTTGTTTCTTTCTCTCTGTTATTCCTTGGTATGTCTAATATATTAATTCCTTGTGTTTCTTTGATAGCCAATCAGAAAACAAACCCTAGATAAGGGCTTGGTCATTTACCAAATTAAGTTTAGAGGGTTTCTAGCTAGATTCCATAAGGCCAACATTGTAGATGATAGGTCCAAACCAATGCAAAGGCCGGAACAATAAAGAAAGTGTTCTAACAAGTACTAGTCGTATCATATGCAAATAGAAGAGAACTATTAGGCATATTCAACACTTGTATTGTTATACAACATAAATATAACTGCAATCAATGGTGTTATCATGGAGTGCAAGCAGACAAACAAAAGTAAATAGTATTTGACAAACAAACAAAAGAAAATGACCAATTGATATGTGCTGGTGGATTCAGGTTCTAACATGAATGTAATATGATGGATTCAGCTTCTAACATGAATGTAATGAAGCATTACATATGGGTCTTCCAATACAGAAATAACCTCAGCCCCAAGGTCCTTGTGGCTCAGCTTATTGAATGAGATTTGGGAAGCTATTGCATTAGAAAAAGGGTCACCCCCACTAACAATGACCAATTCACCATGGCTTCTGCTTGGCATTCAGGGAATGGCTACCATGTTAACATCAGAAGTTCCCATATAAAACTGCTTTGCACTATCAAGATCATTCAAGAAGCTAATAAGAATTCCATCACCTTCTTCATAAATTACAGTAGGGTAAATTCCCAGCCGTTGCCCAAAAAATGTGGTTTTAAAAATTGGATTAGATCGGATGGTCGGACCGGAAAAACTGGGAACCGGTCAGGTGACTGATTCTGGTTTCCCCAAAACCGGATTTTTGTCAAAAAAAAATGTTGATTTGGTCAGCAAACTGCTGACCCGGGCGGTTGAACCGTTTGATGGTTTTAACCTTTTTTTTTTTGTTAAAATGGGCTGTCTGATTCGTGGTCTGGATCGGTTTTAAAACCTTTGATACATGTCCAAAAGAAGCCTTTCTTTGAAGGTAAATTTCAGCCTGATGTGGACATGGTAAAGTGACACATATTAGCCATGTAGAGGGTCCCCCGGTCCTATCTGTTGGACCATACAAATGGGTGCACATGATTCCTTCATGTGGAGGAAATAGCTATAATGGGAAGAAGGTCCCCTACAGTCCTACACTCTGCAGAGACAAGAGAGAACTACATTGGCCTGATTCATAAGTCACAAAAGCTAAGGGTGCCTTGGACTGTTGGACATGTGAGCTAGCCAGCTCCATATCCCAATTCCAAGGCATGTTCTTGATATGGCCTTATGGGCTGTCTACTACGCCAGGGACCGGCCTAAATCGATTGTCCTTGCCATCGCCCTAGAACTTTCCCTTGTGGACTGGGGCGTACCAAATTCTAAGTTAACCACTTCACTGGTCACTCCTCACTCCATATAGCCTAGGCCACCATTCCACTCTGCATTGCCTCTCTCTCTCTCTCTACATCACTGATTATTGAGACAATGATGGGGCTCTGGCGGATTTCCATAGAGGATTCGTACGCTTTTCTGAGAAGGAATTGACAACCACTGGGAATTTGGACTTTGGAGGCTCCAAGCCTCCAGTCCTCAGAGATGATGCAATCAGCCCTCTCTCCCTCTCTCTCTCTCTCTTTCTGCCTGAAAGTCCGATAGATGAGTTAAATGAGCATTTAATGCGAAATCCTCATCACACGCTTCCAAAGCACGCGTTACGGTAAGATGACGTAAAGGAATACAGGAAACTGGAGGGAGAGAGAGAGAGAGAGCTGAGTGACAGTAGAGTATCAGATTGCATGTTTTATGAGGAGGGAAAGCGTGTTTGATAGACTCATGTCATCCCCACTTCGCCATGCATTCACTATTGCAAACCCCCAACCCCCTCCCCAATAATAGCCCAGTGCTGCCGCCCAGCTGAGCGGCCTGAGACTGAGCCCTCAGCCCTGCGCCCTGCGCCTGTGGTATCGGAATTGGCATGATAAGTTAATGTCATGGGTTCATGGCGCAAACTAGCTAGTACCTTCGCTGATGATGACCAGCCACCCTGTTTCAGTGGCATCTTCTGATCAGTTTCTCTGATACATCCTTGATCCTTCTGCTGCTCGTATTGCTGCTATTGCATGCATGCTTCATCAGCCCATCAGCCACAGAAAGATAAGAGATATATACAC